CCAGCACTGCTGCCAGCGGGCTGCTGGACAGCCCCACCTCGATCACCCCGCCGCCCATGCTGAGCGCCGACGACCTGCTGGGCTCCCCCACCTTGCCTGACTGCGCCAGCAACCCCTTCACCTTCTCCAGCCAGGAGCTGGTCAGTCTCTTCGCCCCCAGCATGGGGGTGCAGGTGCCCAGCGGGGGCTCCCCCACTGCGTTCTTGTTCAGGCCCATGTCCGAGTCCCCCAGCACGTTTGACTCGCCGCCCAGTCCTCAGGACTCCCTCTCCGACCAGGAGGGCTATCTGAGCAGCTCCAGCAGCAGCCACAGCGGCTCGGATTCGCCTGTCCTGGACACCTCAAGGCGTCTTCCCATCTTCAGCAGACTCTCCATCTCCGACGACTAATCTGGGGTTTCCTCTTGCTCCCCCCCACCTCTATTACAATGTTAAGCTGAACTCCCCCACCCCGTTCCCCAGTCCAAGCTGGATGTTAACATGTCCACCTGCCTGTCGTAGACCCACTGGCTTAAACCTTAAGTGCCAAATTACGATGAAAAGCAATAACGTTTACAAAATTAGTGCCTTTAACACTTTCACTGTGACTGTATTTACCTCTCCAGCTGCAGAGGGCACCAGCAGCTCTGTGCACTTCCAGATGTGCAGGAAATGTCCGGATCCAGCTCCCTCCACTGGCCATGTACTGCATCGCCCTCTCCCAGTCCCTTCCCGACTGGCCAGTTTCCGCTAGGCTTCAGGCATGTGGACAACCGTTAACATCCATTCCTCTCTCTCTCTCTCTCTCTCTTTTTCCCCTTTAAAGACTAATCTTGCCTGGATCTGCTCAGGTCTGCAGGAAGAAAAGCTGAGAATGGACAAAGATTGTAACATGAGTGGGACTTTGACTGGGAGGAAAAAAACAAAAACGAAAACCAGATGGACTATGAGAGACTTGATTTTGGTGCTAAAAGTTCCCCGTGTATTCATGTGACATCTTAAAACAAATAAAGAAATAGAGGGGGTGGGGCCGACGGAAGTCATTCCACACACAAGTTCGTGTAAACAAAGTTCCAGTAGACATAGCTTTAATGGTTTTGCTCTAGAATACTTTAGACCTATCTTAGAGCACTCACGCCAAGCTTTTTATTATTTTTTTCTGGGTTTTTAATTTTGTATAACTTTTCAGAAATTGGAGAGCAAATTTTGCTTGTCACTGCACAACAATATAAAAAAGCTTATTTAACTTATCAAAACGTATTTATTGCCGAAACCTATGCTTTTTTGTTAATTTTGTTCATATTTATCGGGATGATGAATCCATAGAATATATTCTTTTATGTTTAAATTATGATCTTCCATATTAATCTTAAGATTGTGAAGTGTCTTTTTTCCTTTTTTCCCCCACAGTTTAATATATTATACTACAATGACATTTTTTGTAACTTTACACTTTTTTGGTTATTTTATTTTAAAAAATGAAAAATTAATTTAAAAAAATGCAAAAACTGTGTTTGGATTATTTATTTTAGAATTTCCCCCTCCTTTTTTTTTTGTGTTGGACTGCAAATTGAGTTAATGTGCTTCTTTGCCTTTCCTCTTCTCCTCTTCTTCCCCTCTCCCTGGGTCTTGCATACCCGGGCATTCTAAAGAATGTACATACCGGAGCTCTGTTGTGAGACAGTTTGGAAGGAAGACATTTCACTTCCTTTTTTTGTACAAATTCTTCAAGGAGAAAAGCCTTTGGCTTAAAGTGCCTATCTGAAGACATTCCAAATACAGTTTGTCTTTGCATTTCTGTATTGCAAGTTTGGAGTTTACCTTGCTGAGGTGAATGGGACTGGCACAAAGAATAATGAATGTAATCTCTCTTTTTTTTTTTTTTTTCTCCCCTGTTACTGTTCACTACATTGCCTTTTTCTTCCTCTCTGTGTGAGTTTATTTAAAAGAGAATCTCTTTTGTAACGACTGTTTGCAGTTTAAATCAATAAACCCCAAGTTTTTTCAAGAAACTGACAGGCTGGTTTTGATTGCAAAAATCAAGGTGCTGGTTTTAGATAACCGCTCAAATGCAGATATTTCCTTCGTTTTGACCCTTGAGATGCCTACTGGGTGCTCTGGCACCCCACTGTCACTCCTCACCAGTGATGCAACCAGTTAGCAAATGGGTGCACAGCTCCCTGTCATCTTGGGGAGGCTTCCCTCCATGGACTCTAACCCTCTCTGTCTCCTCTGATCTCGAATAGCTCAGTCTGTTCCTGCAAGCTTCTTTCTCATCATTGTAGCTTAATCCTTAGTTTGGCTTTTGTCTGTGCTATATGGAATATGTCCTTCCCCCTTGGGGAGAGCCTGTGCTGTAGTTTGAGTGAGGCTCCTGGGGCATACTGAAGTAGCATGAATTGCCTAAATTTCAGTCTTGGCTTGTTAGTGATCCTGCTTGACTTTGTCAAAGTGGCTGTTTTGGCATTTTACATGGGAGAGGAACGTCGACCCAAAGTCAAGTGTGTAGGTACGTATCTCATCCTGCAATCACGTTGTGTCGTGCACCTTGATGTAACAGCAATCCCAGAAACTTCTGAATCCAGTGTTTTTATTTAGGGATCCTTTTTTGCCAGTGCTGCTTATGGTGTAATTTTTGTGTTTTCCTCTTTGAGCTCTCCTCTTGAGAAAGCTTGGCGCTCTTCTTCATCTGAACCTGCTCCAGCTGTCTTCCAAATCAGAGGTGGAATATTGCTGCCGAACCACTGATCATCTAGTTGCCTTGAGAGGCCTCAACGTTAAGGAGAGACGTTTCCTAATTCATATTAGAAAAGTTCCTGCAAAACAAAAGCTGCGGGATACCCCATGGCTTACACCAATGTATCTTCTCTGCTATTGGCTTTTTGCAACTTGCTTTCTTGTGTGGCCTGGCAATAAAGGAGCGTTAGCTAGAGGAAAGATGGTGGAGAAGTGTGGCTGGTAGAAGTTGGTTTCCATGAACAGTATAAAAGCTGTGTGGGGAGTGTGCTTGGCAGGTTCTCATGTCACTGGCACGTGGGATGTTCTGCATACTGGTGCCTGAGAGAAGAGCCTCAAGCACAATCCCGGCGCTGCTGGCAAGTCACGGTGTCCTTCAAATGCCTTCTGCCAACAGCAGCGTTGCCCCTGCATTCGAAGATTTCTCTCTCGCCTGAGAGAGAAGCTCCTACCTGCAAGACCTGTGCCCAGCCTGCAGTAAGTGCCCAAGTCTGCCTCCTCGCCGCTTACTGGAAGTGTAGCCATCCGGCCCCTGAAGAGCAAGGCCTATCTGATCTGGAGAAGATCCCAAACCTGTTGCAGGAGGTGCACATGGAGCTTGAAACTGTTAACTTCCTCTTTGGACTTTCTGCACAGCTCTTCAAACAAATATGCTTGCCCAGTTAATAATTGATGAAGAAAATAGCTGTATTAGTTGCACAGTGCTATTGGTATGACAAACAACTGGGAAGCTGTGCTAAAAGCAGCTTGTCGCTCACATTACTTGTGTGCTTCCCTTGTCTTTCTGGTGCAGTAGCTCCGGGAGGCCACCAGCATTTTTCTTCTGTGAGTTTATTAATGCTAAATACTCTGTCCCTAGGTGTTTTGCTTTGTGAAACTAACCTTGAGCTAGGTCACACGGGGCTAGAGAAGACCAGAATAGGCAGCAACAGAAGTTTACTTTGTGTAATAGCTTTAAAGAGAGAGAGATCGAGCCAGCACATGCAAGAGCCTCCAGCAATGTGGGGATTTGCCTGATCTGATACCGTTGGCTTTCACTGTGGCTTGGATATATGGCAGAAGCTCGTCTGGAGGGACTTCTGCTTCCTCAGAACTGCAGTGGATAAGCTGTCCGTGCTGTTTCTTGTAGGTTTATCATCTGTCTTCCTTAGCAGTTGGCCAGGTGTTGTTAATGTCGTAGCCAAGGCTCAGGAGGGTAAAGAGGCTTTCCTGGAAGGACGGTTTTGAGGTACACGTTCCTGTGACTTAGGGGCTCTTCCATGCTCTGGCTTATTCTTGGGACTTTCAGAGTGCCCAGGAAGAGAGGGCAGGCCTGTGCGCTGGCACAGTTGCTCCTGATGTGCCCAGTATCTCAGGGCAGAGTGAAGCACCCACAGGGGTGAGATGCCCGTTGGACTGCAGAGCGTGTCTCAATGCACTTTGCAGGTTGCTGTTCTGGCTCTTACTGTGGAGCAGGGGATGTCTGCGGTGGCTGTTGCAGCTCCTCATGTACTGCCGGTTACAGTGGCAGTTGCTTGCGATGTCCTCCTTGTAAGAAGGCTAGGTCCGTGCCTCAGGCTGCAGGTATTAGTTGTTACTTATCTTTTTGATTCTGAAGTCAGGTGATTCTAGTGCTATCTGCCTTCAACACTGAACTACTTTAGTCTGGGCCAACCTTTGCTTAAAGCCATGTGTACATAGGCAGGGTGTCCCAGAACTGCAGTACCAAAAAAAAAAAAGTAAAAAAAAAATGCTCAGGGTTCCTGGTCCTGACGCTATTTTGCCCTATCAGCATAGTCATGAGATTGGGAGGCAGAGAGGAATAGAACTCGGGAGCTTTGAAAACAGCCGAAATAGATCTGGAAGACAAGTAAAAGCTGGCCTCAGTTTTCTATCTGTACAGTCCCTGTATAGGGAGGGTATGGTGTGGGAACGGGGCTTGGAGCTTCTAGAACAAATCACGTGGGGACACCAGGCTCTGCAGGGCCTTGCAAAGTAGGGAGGATACAACGGTGTGACAGGAAATGAATGTGACAGGAATCACTGTCAGGGAGATGGAGAGCAGAGGAGGAGGTGGAGATAAGTCTCCACAGCGTTCAGTTAGCAAGGGAGAGAGAGAAGTTATGTTGCCTTGAGTCTGAAGACTTCTGAACTAATGGAGGTTGGATGCAAGAACACTAATGAACTGTATCTCCCCAGTGTGGCTCAGGAGCAGCAGTGCTGGGAGAAGGTCTGAATAATGTAGCCTGCTGGATATTACCTGATGACTATGCTCTAGGATATGAGTAGTAAGATGCAGTAATACTTGTGAAAACCACAGCGTGCCCTTTACACCTGCTAATTGCTACAGTTTGTGTGGCCAGTGTTGGGAAAATCTGTCATGTGCTTGAGTCTGGAGAAAGAGGATTTGGGAGGCTGCAAAGGAAGAAGGTGCAGCAGGCAGCGAATGAAAAGAGGCGCCTTCTGGCTCCAGTGCTAAAGGAGCGCTGAGGAGGTTAGCGGCTGCAGTTGTGCACAGGCAGCACTGGCTTGACAGCACAGTGCCAATGACTGCTTGGGGGAGGGATGTGGGCTTGTACTGGAGGGAGGCTCCTCATGCCCCTTGCAATGCAAGCGGTGGAAAGAAAAACATAACACACGGTTTTGTGTGCCACAGTGCAGGGGGGTTAGTTACTGGGGCAGGGAGGTGCTGTGGTGACTGGCCAGGTGCTCTGGTGATAGGCAAAAGTGCAATGAGTGAAATGAAAATGGTCAAAAATAACTAAGACGGAATAATAGTGCCTTACCTGGGCTCCAAAGAAAAGGGGCCAGGCGGGAGCTCACACGGGAAAGTTTAAGGGGTAAAAACAGAGCCATGAGCAGGAGGAAAACAGCAAAACTAGTGCTGGATGGACGGAACTGGGAGGAAGGGGTAACACCCGACGCAGAGGGTCTCTGGAGGCAAGGGGGAAGGCAGGAGGGGTGGCCACGGTTCCCCACTCCCTCCAGAGTCAGGACCACAAAGAGGGGCCACGGGACTCTACTCGGCAGGGAGGCTGCGAGCGGCTGCTGGGAGACGGTGGAAGTGCCCTCCCGGCTCGGGGCCCGTTCAGCCCAAAAGATTAGAAGCTGATTCTGCCTGGTGATGTGAAATGTCCTTCGTGTGGAGACTCTCTGGCCCGTTAAGCAGTGCCTGTTCCTCACAAAGCCTATACTTATTCCCTAGAATACTTCCAATGAAAAAAAGTTCCTCTAAGACACCCTAAACCAATACCTGCTGTGACTAAGCCCTGTGGGCAGCTCCGCAGCTGATTTATATCCTCCCCCTCCAAACTGAAGGGGTTAGAGTGGAAACAGACGCTGCGTTAAACATAGCCGAGGGCACCGAGCAGCACAATTCTGCAATAAAGCAGGGAGGAAACGGGACTATGGGGCGGTTGCTGCCAGGCATGACGCGGTTTCTTGTTTCCTCGTAGGCAGAACAGAACTCCTTTTGGCTGGTGCAGCTTTATGGGCTCGGTTGAGTTTATTATACTGCAAATGTTTTGCATTCCACATCTTAATTTCCAGAAAGGTTTTTCTTAACTTTTGCTTTTTTTTTTTTTTCCTGGTTTTGATTTTTTTACTACCACTGCCTTAACCTCTCCTTTTCAGCTGGGTTTCAGTCAAACCTGCCATTTTCTGAGCTAACAGAGGAATGGAGTTCTCCCTGCCTGAGCTCCAGCTGCAAATTAATCTCTTTTCATAGTTTCATTTTATGTCCGCCCACCATCCCCACCACATTAACTTAGTCAACACAAGGAAGTGAAATTTTTCCATGCAAGTTCCTCTGGGTCGCAAGGCTGTGTGTAACACGTGACTGCCAACTCCAGGGTCCTCTTGCACCTCTGGGTGGAAGGAAGTTTCCCCATTCCCCATGTGTTGAGCAGTTGTCCGTGTTTTGTGAAAAGAGCAACTGGAGCCAGTGGAAACATTTCAGCAGTCACCATTTCTGTGTTTAAATTCCTGCCACACCGGCCTGGCAAAGGCAAAGCCACAGATCTGGTATGCTTGGAGTGCCTCAGGTGCTCTGAGGCCACCATTTGGCAAATGAGCTCGTTGGACGTTTTTCAGTGTTTTTAGTCTGTCCTTATGGGGTTTATTGGACGTTTTTCAGTGTATTCATTCTGTCCTTATGGGGTTTATCTCCCTCCTGGAGAGGACAGAAAGCGCAGCTCATGAAGATGCTGACAAAGATGGACACAGCCTGTTTGGCCCATGTAGTAAATGTGCTGGGTGTTTCTGTGTGATTCCTTTCCTGTGTGGGCATGGGAGGACT